GGGAGGGGGGTTAAAAAGGTAGGATGGAAAGATTGTTCCAAAGGGAGTTGAGGTAAAGCATGCTGGGGCATCGATTTGCAATTCCAATGAAGCCTGCTTACAGTGAATTACACACCAACACTCAGGCTTAAGTGTGCATAAATAATCAAGACCCGTTCTGTCCCGTAATGGATGGTCCTGCTGTAACAAAGTTAGTAAGGCAGTCCGCTGTGGAACAACATAAACACTAAGACCATTATGAGAAGTGCCAGAGCGGATTAAGATCCCATGAAGAACCCTGACGTATCAGAGGCCGAGGAAGAGTTCCTCTCTCTCCCTGGAGACAAATATCTCTTCGTACTTTAAAACTCTTTAAAAATTGATCCCAGGCCAAGTGCCCGACTTCATCCACCACCATCTGACAAAACCACTGCACTTCACGTTATCAAAGTCGTTAAATCACCCCCCGCGTGTCGGAGGTGTATCGGTAACCGGGTTAGATAAGAACGTCACGATCGTTTTCATTAATAATTGATGCGATAATTATCATACAATCGAGTGTGAAATGTGAAACAGAACTAAGAATAACACAAACATATATTTTCTTCTGTCAATTCAGACTAGAGTTTTCCTGAGGTCAAACTCCCGCTCCTCAGTACCTGCAGTGTTGTCACGTAAAGAACTAATTCATGGTCAAAACATGGACAAAACCCCAGCACGAGACGACGACGGTCACTTTATCATCAGTGAAGAAATATGAACCGATGACCAAACAAATAAACCCTTGAGGTTTTGTTAGAGGAATTCTCCTGTCGTAAGTAAACCTGTAATTCCTACTTTCCCCAATAGGTGGCGAAGTAAAGGCTAAACGTAGGGATGTCTAATTTTGTTTTGCTTTTCCAATTTTTTTTTCAACTTCTGGCTAGTATACGATACGCTACAAACACTTGATTTCCGATATCGATACTTTAAGCCGTTTACCCCCAAAACTGTGGTAAACGTCTCAGGATCCGCACAAGCGATTTCTAGCATATTTGGTAAAACCCAGGTATTGTGATATCGGGTTTTCATTATCGTAAGTGAAACCAAATGATTCTTACAGATATTACATAGTGATGCTAATTTCGGGCCAATAATATCGGAAATTCTTAGTTAAATGCATTTTGTGCAAAAGTACTTTGGGTTTTTTTTTTTCTTTACATCCTTGTCACACTGAAGCTCAAAGGCATCACATACCTGTGATTGACAGCTGCCATCACCATTACAGCTGGTTTAATAAAGAGCAACGAAACCTACAAAACCCAGACCTTAAACGAACATTTGAAAATTAATTTACAGTGAGTAAAAAAAAAAAGAAAAGACTGAAACAAAGCTTTTAACCAGTGTGGCCTTAGTTGTACTGCAGTCACTGTTTGACTGGAGAAATCATTAAAAACATGATATTCAACAGAATGTTATCTCTGGTTCTGCTCTGCATCTCATTCGATACGTTTTTTTTTTTTTTTCAGCTAGAATTTTTATACCTAAAACTTTTATTGAAAATTGGGTTTAGTGCTGCCAGAGAACATTGAAGTGAACATCATTTATACAGAGGCTGCCAGGGAAACATGCAAATGAGCTGCCAACCGTGTTCAAGTCTCCCTGTTTGTCTGAAGTGCACTGGGAGGAAAAACTCCTATTTTGTAAAATCAACAATAATATCTCTGCCAACAAGGTTTTGTCTTTATCTGCATCTGTTTCTGTTGGTGTGATGTCAGCACAGCATCCAAGAAGTGAAGACACATTTGGATAAGATCTTTAGTAGATTATGACCAAATTACTTTTTTTTTATCACTCTTTGGTCTGGAATTAAGAACTTTAAATTAAGGCGTTTTTTTTAGAAGGCAAAATAAAGGGAGCGTGTGGTTTGCAGAAAAAAATAAAATACAATTGGAACTTGTTGTTGACACTTGAAATCTACTGTAGAAGAAATAAAAAAATGTTCTGCCTGATGCCTGCAGATGTGAACACTGAGGAACCGGGGTGCGGTTGCTAAGAGCTGAACGCCATCCAGTGTCTCAGAACACGGTGTTAATGTGAGTGTAATCTGCTCTATTCATGACAGCGCTGCATGGAGGCATGTGTCGTTAATGGGCCCATGTGGAGCACGAGCCAAAGAATAGTACGCTGAAGTCTGGTCACACACGGATGTCGGACCAGAACCAGAAAAAAAAAACAAAACTTTTTTTTTTCTCCAACTCAACCTTGAATACTATACCCATGAAAAAAATTTTTTTTTTTTTTCTTTCTGGTTCTGGTCCTTTCACTCCTGTCCTATGAATTCCTCCGCTCATGAAAGACAGACAGCAGCGACAGGAAGTGGCTGAAGGACAGATGGAGGGAGCAGTGACGGACGGTGGTAAATGATGCCATCCTTCAGTAAATTAACAGCTCATGATGAGCCCGTGTGGGAGCCAGCATGTTAACACGGGACTCTGTTCGCCCTCACTGCCAGCAGCCGAGTCAGCCATGTTTGTTTGTGGGGACAGTTGACAGGACACAGCAAGGAAAGTGTGATAAACAGACGTTGTCGTTCCGTCTCAGACAAAAACAAAAAACAAACTGCTCTTCAATGACGGTGAACAAATATCGTCATTTAGGTCTCATTTACGTATATACAGTACATTACCTATTTGTTGTCCAATTATTTCAATATTTTATTCCATTTGTGCACAACATTTCAGACCTGATTTTTAAGCTAAACTAAGGCATAAAACTCTTTCCTGGGAAATAATTTTTGTTTGTTAAAAAAAATGGTAGTGGTGGATTACGGAAAAGTTAGTCAACTAAAACACTTGTAACTTCGTCCGACAGCCATGACGGAACACGACACCTACTGGCTCTGACTCATTTCCAGTTACAGTTGGTGGTTCTCAGAGAGGCAGCGGGTGGCTGATTTCTTTCTTGACGTAAGTCCAGTGTTCGACTCCTTCCTCTGACTGTGATTGAGTCATTAGGTGGACTGAGTCTGTTGAATTATGTACTGCCTGGCTCAGGATGAATTGATTCATCCGACTAAATGATTTGATGAAGGGTCGGTCCACAAATCTCCCAGGACTAATGTGAAGCTAACGGCTAATGACAACAGGATCAAGCTAAACACTGAGACGGCGAGAGTCTTCACTTCAAGGTCGCAGCACTGAGTGGGTGAGCAGGGAGACTGGGGGGGGGGGGGAGTTTGAAACTCATAAATGTTATAAAGCGATAGATGACTTTAATTGTTAGGTCAAATAACGGCGACAAAAATAAACGGCGTAATTTGTGTGTTTACTCAGAGGTTATTTATGAATCAATCAAACCATCAGGCTTAAACAATTAATTAGTAAAGTTTAGAAACTTTCAGGTAAAAGTTAGTCTGAATAATGAAACAATGTATCACAGTTGTTTGTTTACAGTGTTTACGACTTCAACTAAGTCAACTTTTATAACCATGTGGTTTTCTTTGTGTTCTCACTGTATATAAACAAACTCTTCTCTCAACCTCAGCTAAGCTATACCTAGCATGACCTGCTAACATGATTCCTGAACACAAAGGCTTTTTTAAAAAAAATCATGGTCTGGTTCCATGAATGAATGAATCACCACGACACCATGCTGTTTATAAACAGTGGTCTAACTTCCATGATGATTATTGATTAATCACACCACATGAACGGGCTGCAGTGTGTGACCGACAGCTAATAGTGTATTTGAAGCTGACGTCTGTGAACGTTGTCAGTCAAAATGCTAATTTTCATCTTCAAAAAAAAAAAAAAAAAAAACCCAAACTGAACGGCACAGAGGCTGACATCATTGTTAAAAGACGATGTCTGTTCATCGCAGAGCTCTCTCAGCCAGGAGAGGGAATGTAAAGTGTCCAGATAATTGGAATTAAAAAAGGAATTTTTTTAAAGGTATCCAGGGCTTAAATTTATGCCTAAAATTTTCTCCTTACTACAAAAAAAAGTATCCCTGGAAGCAAAGAGAAAAAATGTCCTACATGTCATTTCCGACTTTTAATATGCCAGTCATTTTATGACATTAGTCATAAAAAAAGTCCCTTTTTTGTTTCACCAAAATCTTCAATCCTCACCCGCCGCCTGCTGCTCATTTCCACCAACACTAATTTGAACAAAAAGGAAAATGGGAAAATGAAAATGAAAGACATAAAGGAGAAAATGCGACCAACTCTTAAATGCTGAGATTTCGTGCATGAAGACGCGTGAAGTCTTCCATCAGTTCACGGTGCAGCTCTGCAGGGCGGCTCCACTCCCACGGAGCAGAAACTTTCATGTTTTTGAGATCAACAGGCCGTATTTATAAAGAGTCTGACTGTAGAGTCTGGGGCGCAGCGGGCGAAACAACAGCCACCTAATGACTGAATAATTGACTGACCGAATGAAGCGGCCTCTAGATCAATACACTCCACTCTTCCCTTTTAGGATTTCCTTTTCTTTTCTTTTGTATTTTATTCTATTTTCTTTTCCATGTAAAAAGAAATATATTTCATGAATTTGTGTTTAAGTCCTGTGAGGATTAAGAAATAAAATTATCTGACTTTAGGCATAACTTTTTCTTATTTGTTGTCTGACAGCTGTTGTGCGATTGGTCAGCATTTAAAGTGGGCGTGGTCAGGCCTGGTCATAAGGAGCGGTCGAACATCGTCAAAATCTTCCTCCTCCTCTTCCTTGGATTTAAGTCACTCAAAAACATCAAATCTCTGTTATTCTCACCTCGGTGTCGCAGTATTGTTGTTTCTGTCAAATACCCACAATGCTTGGCGTGTGTGACGTCTGCCGGAGTGGGATCCCGTTCCCGTTCCAGGTGGACGTCCCAAGAATTAGTGGGATCCCGTTCCAGGTGGACGTCCCAAGAATCTCCTGACGTATGGAATGTCATGGAGAGGAAGGACTTTGTTTTAGTTCTTGTGACTGTTTCAGTTTCACCTCCTCATCGGTCAGTCCTGTCCACCGTCTGTCTGGACACGGGACGGTTTCCATCTTCCTTCGTTCCTTTGTAAATGTTATAGACCAGTTTTATTTCTTCTTATTTCTGCAGCCGATCTCTTAAAATCCCCGTCACATTCCTGCGTACGTCTCCAGACGCCGACCTCTCCTCTTCTTCCCTTTTTCATTTCCCACTGCAAACATCAAAAGGCATTTCTTTTGTCTTCAATGGTGATATTTCATCAAGCCGTGACCAACCAATCCATCAGGTGAATATTAGCCTTTGCCAAACACTTTGGCTGATTTCACGGCGGATGTTATGGCCTCTGATTGAGGAGAGCGTTATTGAATACGCTCTAAAAGCAGGTGAGATGGTCCTGACTCTGGGAGGGGGCGGTGACATTTGCTTACATGTATGATATTGGCCAGAAAAGAAGAAGAAAAGAAAGGTAACAGAGAAAAAAAAGAAAAAAAAAGAAAAGTTAGGTCGGTGAAGGAAAGCATGAGAGATTCACATATATTGGTATCTGCTTTTCACTGGCTCTAATATCACATCCAACCAAGGTTCAGTGTTTATTCACTTCATGGTTCCACCGCAGAGAAACTGCATTCCATCAGCCTCGTCTTCGGCGCTCCTCTTCCTTCCTCCCTGTAAATATGAGCCGGCCTGCATCACAGATCCCATCTCTGGAGACAGCGGCGGAGTCAGCGAGCCAGAAAGACACGGTTGGGTTTCACAGAAGAGGTTAACAGGTGAACGTGGAGGAGGTGAGCGACGCGATGGGAAAAATAGATGAGCGCCGGTGTTCCTGCGCGCCGCCTCTCTGAGTGAGCGACCCTCAGTCAAGCCTCATGAGCACATTCATGTGTCTAGCTAAACAGATGAGTAGCAGCCACTGATGCAGAGCATCCATCTCACTTCTCAGGTACAGTACGTAAGAGAGCGCGAGGTTTCGCAGTTTACAAGAACGGAGGCGGAAACGTCTAAACATTTCTGCTGATCTCCCTCACCTGGCACACCGTGAGTTAGGGCCGTGATTTAAATTGACAATGACTTTACGTGTCTAATGTATAGGTGAGCGTTAAAGGTCCTAGAGTGTGTGCATTTTTTAGTGGTCCAGAAAATTAAAGCCATATTTCTCTCGCGTGCGGCGGAAAACTCCGGTCCCGGCTTGTTGCTGGCCCTGCTTTGCCTGTGCCGTTCCTTTGGCTGGTAATAAGATCTGTGACACAGAGTCGGCCTTCACACATTAATGATCGTTTGCCACAGTTCAATTCTCCATTAATCCAATGTGGGGAAAAACAAGCAAAGAAGCACGGACGTTAAAGATGGAAGAGACTGATTTTGTTTACTTACGTTTAGAATCACACAGAAAAAGCTGAACGACTTTAATGGAAATGACCATTTAAACCATTTAAAGTCATTGGTTTATAACCTCTGCAGGCCACGGGTGTCAAACTCATTTTGGTTATACAACCTAATTAGATGTTACCGGACCAGGACAATCATAACATAATTACCTATAAACAACAAAAACAAAAGTTCATAATATCCCTACACTTTTGTACAAAAAAAAGTACATTAGATGAATCTTCATATTTAGTGAAGTATAATTTTACAAAACATATTGGTGTAGGTGGACCCAAAATAACTGTCAAACTTTTCCCTGTGTTACTATAGGTCGTATAGACACAAATCATGACTCATTTTACACTAATATTTACCTTGTTTTATGTTTAAAAAAAATCAGATCAATTTTAGACTTCAATAAGCAGCCATTGTAGAAAGTTTACAGTGAATTAACTGTGATTTATTTTTCATCTCATTTTGAAACTAATGCTGGGATTATTATTTTTATTTTTTTTAAGTTTTGTTCGCTTTTATCAGTGCTTGTTCTCTCAGTTTGTACTTTGTCAGTTTCCGGAGTTTGAAATGCTTCAATGTCACTAAGGACAAGAATAAGGATTTCAGACAAAGTATTTTCGGAATAATAATAAACAATGTTTGAAAATAATATATATATATATATATATGAGTTTCTGTAAAACAATTCAGTCAATTTTTATGGATAATTAAAGAATAAAACCTCACATGTTTTTTTGAAACGCCATCATAAACATGAAGCACTGGGATCAACTTCTCTTCACTGTGCATTCGTTATGAATGTTTAAAGAGCAACGCAAACTGAGGAACGTCTGAAATCACCTCTCAGGGAATCGCAGCACAGATTACATTGGCCTATTCTCTTTTTTGATTTTTCAGTATGTCTGTGTTTGGTTTGGCAATAAAACAAAAAGGAAAAAGCCCCCCAGACATATGTTTTATACAAGCCTAGTACTGAATGTGTACAAAGTACAAATTATATGAGGTACAACATTTTTATTACTTTGGCCCCATTTTCATCTGTTTTTTCTAACAGGTATTTTTCTCAACTTCTGTCAAGGGCAAATATACGAGTACACAGAAAGTATGCACATCAGTGGGAATCGTCGACTTAGTTTTGTATAAAGTAGTAGCTTAAATATAAACTACCTCTGATAAATACTGGTGATATTCTGCTGCTGGTGACGGATGCACATGAAACACCACGGCTGAAACAGTTCTGGAAAGAAAAGAGTTCACAAAGAGTTCACTCTGTGTTAAAGATAAAACAGACAAGACCTTCTTTGGTTTTATTGATCAATACTTCTATAAACCCCCTCCAGCATGATGTGGATGAAGAAGTCTAGAGGAGGAAAAACCTCATCTCTACGTCTCTGGTTCTGTTAACATGCTAGCAGCTAACTCTTCAGTGTCAGGGGACCGTGTTCAGTCAAAGACCAGGTCAGGTGGAGGTTGGGATCTCCACTTGGATATTTCCACAGCTGCAAAAAAAAAAAAAAACCACATGGAAGTGCGAAGATTTCCATGGCTAGGCTAGTTGCCCCATATGTATGCTAGCACAGCTAACGTGAAGAGGAAGTCATTCATGTTAGCGTTGACTGATGTCACAGCTTTCCCAAACTTTTTTCTGGGGACCCATATTTTAAAAGACACAAACTTTTGCGACCGGAGTCGATAGACATTATTTACAAACTCCTGGGAAACATGAAGAGAGACGACCTAAAAAAAAATCTCTTGCGACCCACCTGAGGGTCGCGACCCAGTCTTTGGGGAACATGTGCTTGGCTATCTAGACTTGAACGTATCATGACCTGGTTCAACTTCAAAGGTAGGCTGAAGAATTCTCCCGGTGACCCGACGATTCTGATTCCAATTTTCTTCAGGCATGAAAAGATGACTAACCAGTCAATTGGTTAGTCAACCATCCGGTTAGTTTGTCAGCAGGGGGAGCACTGCCTCCCTCAGACACTGATTTATTGGACAATTTCACAGCAGTGTCCACAGTAATGGGACAGGATAAATGGCTGACCTCTTAGTGACGGAGCTGACTCCTGGGGAAGATCAGAGCCGGATCCCTCAGTGTTGGTGTGTATGTGTGTGTCAGTGTGTGTCTCAGTGTGTGTGTCAGTGTGTGTGTTTTATTTCTCCTTTTCGTCTCCTGGTGTGTTTTATTGGTTTATTTTATTTCAGTACCTCCCATTAGTCCCTGCACCTCCACCTCCTGCAACAAACCACAGGAACATTCACAACGTCTGCCGCTTCCTCCGTGCTACACCGCTACTACACCACTGCTACACCGCTGCTACACCTCTGCTACACCACTGCTAACCCGCTGCTACACCACTACTACACCTCTGCTACACCTCTGCTACACCTCTACTACACCTCTGCTACACCTCTACATCACTGTAATGTGCTGGTGACTTGTTTCTAGAGCAGTCACTCTGTATGTATCTCTAGTCTCTCCTTCTTGATCTTTTCGTCTCTGTGCTTCTGCCCACAGCTCCAGTTATCTTCACTGGTTTTTTATTCTGTCCCTGTCACATGAAGCTAAAGTCAGAAACTGGATGACTGTATCATTACAAAATGACAAAAAGGTTTTGAATAATCTATTATGCGAAAAATCGATGACACAATGTCTGGGTTTCTCCAAATGATGTGTGCCTTAAAAATAGTTTCGGGGATAAACGGCTGCATTTCAAAGTGAAAGTCACTAGATGGCAGCATTGCAGCTCATTTAATCAATCTTATACGAATACAGTGGTTTGTACGGATAAATAAATAAATATTACCAGGCCTATATCGGTATCGGTTGATATCGGAATCGGAAATTAAGTGTTTGGACGATATCGGCAAAAAGTTATCCCTGGTTTTGAACATTGACTGTGATTTGACTCATTCTCTCAATGGCAGCACGATTTTCTGTGACATCAACAACGTCAGTCCTCGAGCATTTAGTTCATGAAATCGTCTAAATGACGATACAGAGAAATACTGTACACACTGGGTATTCAACACACGTTGGTCATCTGCTGGTCCTGGTTCTGGGCTGTGCTGGAGCCGACACTTGAATGTGAACGCAGAGCTCAGACAGACACACATTCACACAGCGACAGTTGGACTTGGTCACACTGTAGCTCTGGGAGCTGATAACTGCCTATCTGCTGTACCCCAGAGAGCAGGGAGGATAAACACAGTGGTGGATGAACACCCCCTCCTCCCCTCCCTCCCGTCCCTCCCCCCTCTCTCTCGTGGAGAAACATCACTTTTCCCTATAGTCGAACCAATTCATGCATAAATCCAACCTCTACAAAACCAGAATTCTCAGGTTTGATACCAGAGCCACAAAAATGATCTGCTGCTGCACCAGGACCTGGACCAGGACCAGGACCACTTTAGTATCCATGTGGAGTCCTGGTCCTGACAAGGTCAGCGTTTGGATGAAAAAAAGGATTACACACACACACACCCAGCCTCGCTCCCTCCTCTCATCATTTTCACCTCTCAGCTTTTAACCCCATTTATTTCATCTCCA